TCGGGCCTCGGTTTAAGCGGGCGGGCTTGAACATTTTTTTAAATTTTTTTCGATTTTTTAAAATTTTTTTCTTTTTCACTACCAAGGTCATATCACCAAAGTAGGTCCAAGTCCAAGGTCAACCAACAAAATATGACTTTAAAAATATACCATTTTTATAAATAAAAAAAAAATGAAGACAAAATGCGACTCAATTATGTGACTACTAATATTCAATTAACTTGATTTTACATGAATGATCTTCTAAACAAGCTTAATAATTCAAATCACTAAAGTAGGTCCAAGTCCAAGGTCAACTACCAAACCCTAGCAGTGTAAATGTAGCCCAACCTGGGTCGGCCAATCTTGACCCGAGCTTGGGCCCTAGCTCCGTCCGACCCATGTCGGGCCGAGCGGGGTCCCACCAAAATTCAAGTCAGGCTGGCCCACGAGCTAGAAAATTAAACCTAGGCCCAGGGGGTATTCAGGCCTCTGTTTGAGCGAGCGGGCTTGAACATTTTTTTTCTATTTTTTCCACCGAAATTTTATTCTTTTTCACTAAAAATGACTTAGGCCTTAGGTCGAGCTTTGAGTGGGCCTTGAGCGGACTGATGGGTCGAGCTTCAAAATGACGGCCAAAGCCCAGGCCTAGGGTCCCAAGTTGGACTCGAGCCTAGGCCTAACTGGGCTACGGGCAGTCTTCGAGCTGCCCACGAACCACATGCCATTTTTACGCCTCTACCAAACCCTAACAAGACCTATCTACGATGGTGTTTGATAACCTAATTCAGAACTTAAAATTGAATATATTAAGTGATAATAAATTAAGACAATTTAATAATCACAATTGATATCATTTAAAATTTTAAGCGCCTCTTAAAAGATAGACTAAGAATAATTTTAGGATTAATTACCTAAAAGTCATATTGGTAAGGTTCGTATTCCATTAAATCCACCCTCTTCTTTTTTTTTTTAAATCCATAAAGTCTTATTTTCAAAATACTTATGTTTATATGATTATTTTAACCTTATTAAAAGGCGAAAGGACTTGAGCGCTAATAAAAATTTAGGAAAATGTCTCGTAACTCAAATTTTGTGGCTCAAAAGTGGCTCAAATGGCCAAAACGACGTCGTTTTGGCCATTTTTATGTTGTTCTATACTCAAAATGACGTCGTTTTGGCCATTTGAGCCACTTTTGAGCCACAAAATTTGAGCTACGTAGCATTGTCGAAAAATTTATTAGGCAACAATGTTATCCACCAATCACTAAACATTATGTCTCACGCCCCAATACAAAATTGTGGACCATACCCCCTCCATCAATCACAAATCTTTTGATAATCACTTTACCATGCCTCAAAAGCACTAGATGTTTTTTCTTATTCAAGTGGTATTGTGGCATTTTAATTTTGTTTTGTTTCAAAACTTAAAAATTTCATAACTTTTGTTATACACATTTATTTTTAATAAAATTTATATTTTTGGAGTCGATACAATGAGATCTATCAAACAAGATCAATATTGAATATAAAAATTTATAAAATAAAATATTGTTTTTTTTATTTGTAAAACTATCTAGTAAAACTGAAAATTTCTCAATTTTTTTTTAGTTTTAACTGAGAATATTCTCAATTTTTGAGAAAATTCTCAAATTTTTCAGTTTTAAAACTGAGTCAGTTTTTTCAATTTTATACTACGAATATTCTTAGTTTTAAATTTGAAAAAAATTGAAATAATTAGACCAAAAAAATATTATTAGTTAAGTAAGTTAAGAAAACTTACTATTAAAAGTAGTTTAAATTCTAAATTTATAATAAAAAACATATTTTTATTTTTATATAATTTCGTATTTAATATTAATCTTGTTTAATAAATTTCATAGTTTTGATTTTAGAAATATAAATTTTATAAAAAAATAAATACATATTACAAAAATTATGATGATTTGAAATTTTGAAAATCATAATAAATGTTACATCACCATATATATATATATATATTTTTTTTATAAACAATTACAAATGATGAACAACCATTATTTAAAGGATAATTTTATCTATTAAAAACTAATGAGACTTTAGGAGTAAAAAAAAAATCTTATCTAGGACTTCACGGGGTATAAGTTCACAAAATAAGACTTGAAGTGTAAATACTCCAAAATTTTAAGAGATATAAAATTATTACTATACACCACTTTTATCATCATTATCTTTGTTGTCATAACCACCACTATCATTACATTTCCTCCACCATACCACCATAACAGCCGCCACTATCATTACTAAAACAACTATTAAAATCCTTCAACTCCACAACCATTGCCACAGTTATTATAACCACCACCGTCATGATACCACCACTGCCACCACCCCTTTTTATCTCCACAACATTACCTTTCCACCATTACCACAACCACAATCATTCTATCTTTACCACCATTGTCATTGGCGATATAGCTAATGACACCACCTCCTCCACTACCACCAACTCACCATCATAATATAAAAATTAAAATGTACAATTTGGAAATAATAAATTTTAAATTTAATCTTATATGTATTAAACAACTCATTTTAATTTAACTCTTAATTTTTTATCAATTAAATTTTTAACTCAAAACATTTAATATTTAATTTTTAATTTTATCAAACAATACCTAACGGGATCACGAAAAAGAACCTTAACATTTTTTCATGAAACCTGGTGAATCCCATAAATGTGGTTCATTAATGCATACCCACAAATCTGTTGGGTAGTAAAAGTATCATATATTTTTGTCCATGCATTCATGGTGATGGAAGTCACATGCTTTGTGTTTCATACCAAAACAAACAAAAGTTCAGTCTCTTTCTTTAAATTTATGCAATGATAATGCAAGTAAACTAGCAAACTCTAAAAAAAAAAACACTATCCTCTCCCATTCCCCTCTTTAAAGGGTATGGGGCCATTAACCTACTCTTTCACTCTCAATGAATGTGAATTTATGGAACACACACGAAGAATGTGAAGCATCTATGTGTCTGCATCCCCACCTTCCGTGATTCCAAACACACAATAAACAGAAATGTGTGATAAACATTATCATCGTTGTCATAACCACCACCATCATTATATCACCAACGCCACCACCCTTTTTTATCTCCGCGAAATTACCATTTCACCGTCTCCGCAACCACTGCCATTATCTTTCTATCTTCACTACCATTGTTATTGGCGTCACAGTTCATGCCACCACTTCCTCCACCACCACCAACTCACAATAAAAAAATTAAAATATATAATTTAAAAATAATAAGTTTTAAATTTAATTTTTATGTATCAACAACTCGTTTTAATTCAATACTTAATTTTTATCAAACAATTTTGTAACTTCAAAAATTTAATATTCAATTTTCACTTCTATTAAACAGCACAGAGAATCACTGAAAAGAAACTTAAACCTTTTTCATAAAGAGTTCGACTTCTGAAATTGTTATCTCACCTAGTGAATACCATAAATGTGGTCCATTTATGCAAACCCACAAATCCGTTGGTAATAGAAGTATTAGATATTTTTGTCAATGCATTTATGTTGGTGCAAGTCACATGCTTGTGTTTCATACCCAAAAAAACAAAAGTTCAGTCTCTTTCTTTAAATTGATGCAATCATAATGCTAGTAAACTAGCAAACTCTAAAATAACTATCCTCTCTCCCATTCCCCTCTTTAAAGGGTATGGAGCCATTAACCTACTCTTTCACACTCAATGAATGTGAAATCACGGAACACACATGAAGTCTGTGAAGCATATATGGGTCTGCATCCCTACTTTCTCCTCCATTTTCTTCCGGATTCCATGATTCCAAACACAATAAACAAAAACAAATTTGAATATGTAATTTCAACTGACAAGTAATGAAACACATGCGCTTGTGAGTGTTCAGATATCAAAGAGAGAAAAAAACAAAACAAAACAAAATGTGCAATATAAAAAGTTCAGCGTTCTATCATGTAGTTCAAAAGAAGGGACGAATGCATGAAAAATGTGAAACATTGACGTTTGCATCCCCTACTTCCTCCACTTTTTTTTTCCTTTTTCTTTCTGAATTCTGTAATTTCAAATACGCAATATATAAAAACAAATTTGAGTATGTAATTACAACTGACAAGTAATGAAACATGTAATGAAACATGTGTGCGCGTGTGCATATACTGACGATAGGAAAAAAACAAAATGTGCAATGAGCATTCTATCATAGAGTTCAAAATAAGTATGTTCACATAAAAGGAAGGGAATGAATATCCCGAAATAACATATGCAAGAACTTTATATGCTAAAATGAAATACTACGAGCAAAAATTCCATCTGATATAGTTCCACAACTTGAGAGAATGATTTGTTCAGCCGAATTCAGAATAGGCAAAATTGAGTTTGTATTCTAGTACTTTCAAGAACTAACATCCAGACAGAAAGCAAATCCAAATCAACAAGGATAGCAAATTAATGTCTCTAATAGGTTCATAATCACCATTGTAGTATACAAATGGAAATGTGATCATTCATTAAAAATCCTGAAGTAAGCAAACAATATCCAAAAATGCGAAAAACACAATGACAATTACATGGACTACAAATTTGTGAAGTTTCAATGAATTTTCACAAGCATTTCACGATATACTCCTCTTTTTGAAAAATTAAATAGCATATGGTCAGCCCATATTGATTAGTACAGCTTTCTTAACAATAGAAAACCATAGTCATGTGGACAGAGATTAGTGCAAGTTACAATATACTTAAATGAACACCAGAACACAACTCACTAAAATTTCAGAACAAAGAACCAATATCATTTCTTGTAAAAAGGCTTTTAGTTCCCCCACCAAATACCTTTAAATGGGCATACAATATCAGCAAGCAAACAGCCTTCAGCTGAGATTTTACATATTTATTAACATTTTTTTTAATACAGAATGAAGACAACAATTTAAATATTAAAGAAGAATAAAAGCAAAAATTTTAAAATGAAAGATTACCACCTCTCTTACTACCAAACCTAGAATGCATAGCCAATGAAGTGCCGTGTTGGCACAATTGGTTCTAACACAACAACAATAGTTTCTTAGAAAAACCACTAAACACCATACCAAAGATTAACGAGCTCCAGAGTCTGAAAGAAATTCCAGCCTTGAAAGTTTCGAAGTTTCATTCAAAATCTGATCATATGATGTGTTGCCTACGTATATATGCAAGTGAAAGGCAATTTCACATCAACGCATGAACACAATTTAAATAGAGGAAAACAATTTAAAAAAAGGCTTGAAAAAAAAAAAAAAACCTTTTCAATTACAATCTGACCCGGTGAAACTACGAAAACCAATCCATAAGGAAGAGTTATGTGAATTTAAGCTTCAGCATTGGTGAACTGTTGTTAGGGTGTGAAGGACCAAGCTTTTGCATCCAATGAAGAAGCCCCTTCTTATGATCTTGGCATATCAGGTTTTGCACAAGGTTGAGAGTTCCATCACGGGCAAGAGAAGACTCAAACTGCTCTAATACCTTTACAATCTGCCAAAATTCTGGCCTCTTCTCGGGTTGCGAACACCAACATTGCTCGATCAAAGCTCTCATGGCAGGCAAGCAGTATGCAGGAATAGCGGGTCTCAAATTCTGAATGATCCCAAGATGTAGTGATCTTAGAATTGCATATATTAATTTCCTCAAGAGTTTAAAAAATAATAATAATAATTTAAGGGCAAAAAAAAAAAAATAGGAATCAAAAGAAAAAGAACAAACAGAGAGAGCAAAAATGCCAAAGCAAATAAGGATGTGCGAGCAACATGCATCCTCAGTTCTAACTACAAGACCATATAAAAGCTCTTACATTAAAATATCTTAGGCACTTGAAACCCGTTCTTTCAACATGATGTGGAGTTTCTAGTTTCATTTTTATTTTTTAATTATTTATAAGAACCATGTGAAGTTAATATAACCTCCTATGTTATATGGACTCTTTTGCTTCCCCAACTGTACCCATATCCAACGGATATGACAAGGGTAAGGGTGTGGGATATATTTCCGACGCTCGTACCAAATTCAGATACTCAAATACTTGGATCCTCTAATTTTATATGATGTTTAGAGAAGAAAATGCTCACATTTGCCAGTAAAAAATGTCTAGCTTCTCAGCTGTATAGGAGATTTAAATTATGTAATTTCTCTAAATCCCATTCAATTTGAACTACATTTCTAAATAATTTACAACATTCTATCTAAGAATATTATACAAGATGCAATATATATGTGTGTGTGTGTGTTTAACACATGCCACCAGACCCATAACAACTTTTGGATGCACATCACAATATCCTAATATTCATATTTAGGAAGACCTTGGATATGCCCCTGCACCTGACATAGCCCAACAAATAACCATTCATTGCCATTTGACGCCCAATTACCAGTGGAAATTTTATTAAGGATAGCTTTTCCAAGGAATAGATATGATTACAGAAAAAAGCATGTGCACCATGAAAAAAGTCAAACATCATTCAATAAAGGAAATTTTTGAGGAATGATATGGCACACCCATCAACTTATGTGGTGCACTTACCATGTCTAGAGGTCGTCCTGTTTCATGCCGTAGTCTATTCTGATTTACTATAATGACAGCACAATTAAGGTGTGCTTTGAGCTCATATGGTTCATTTATAGATGATTATGTATCATCCACCTCCAAACATGCTGAAGGCAAGAAGACGGGTTTTGTTGTTAGTTAAAGTTGAATTATGTATGTAAGATCACATATGCAGAGAAACATGCATTTCAACACATGAATGATAAAGAACTTGGGACATAAAATGACAAAAGCAATAGCCTAATATGCAAATTGGGATTTTCAGGGGAAAAAAAATTCAAAGCAATAGAAAATGAAATTCCAAAAATTGCCTTATTCACTACAGCAAAAGCTGCTTGGATCGGTGTCATATCCTCGTAAGGAATAGTTCCGGCTACCAATTCCCAAAGAATAAGTCCAAAGCTGTACACATCAACCTTCCGGCCATACGATTTCCGTTTGACCATTTCGGGTGCCATCCAACGATAAGTCCCGGGGTCATCGGCCAGAAGATCACAGTATGCCTCCTCACAAGCTATTCCAAAATCAGCAATTTTCATGTGGAAATCTTGATTAATAAGGATATTCTCAGGTTTGAGGTCCCTATGAATTACACCTTGAGAGTGAATGAATTCCATTCCCCGAGCAATATCCAAAGCAATAGCAATTAGTTTCTGTAAGGTAAGAGTTTTATGCTCAAGCTTGTGGAGGTATGCCCTCAACGAACCCTCTGAGAGATATTCCGTGATGATACAAAAAACCAGTGGCTTTCTGCATGCTGCTACAAACTGTATCATCATGTCAAAGTATAGAAAACTTAAGTCAAAAAAGTGTACATAAGGCAACAACTCTTACAGAAAGCCTTGGAACCCAGAGAATTGCCCAGAAAATTGTTGTCTAGCTTAGATTTAATTCTTGTATTGTGAGACTGACACTTGAAATAAATCTCAATCATCCAATACTTTTTCTAGGTATTTTTCTGGGTACCTAGCATTGATGAACTCTCAAACTTGTTTGTAGTTCAACTTAGTGTTTGCACAATGCAACAATCACATCCACATGTGATAGTCATAATGTTCATTCATTCAGCAACACAAACCACATGAATGAAAAGTAACGCCTATATGGAAGCATGCATGAATTATTAGCATTATGCACGAATTAAGGACATGGAACAAGCAAATCCAAAATTTCAAACTTCCACGAATTAGAAGGAAAGATTGATCGATTCATCAATAATGTCCTATTGGCATATGAAAAATGAGAGAAATAAATTACCTTTATACATGGACATCTAAAGGGATGCCTAATCTATTTAGCACCACATCCAATGAGTTTTTAGCATTATGCACTAATTAAGGGCATGGAACGAGCAAATCCAAAATTTCAAACTTCCACAAATTAGAAGAAAAGATTGATTGATTCAATAGTAATACCGTAACTGCATATGAAAGAGGCGAAAATGAAATTACCTTTATAACATTTTGATGATGAAGACGAGACAAAAGGGTGACTTCCCTAGTGAATTGCTTTTCTAACCTAGCTCCAAGAGCTCCATTTTCGTCATCATCTGGTACCCTGATAATTTTCACAGCAACCGGTTCATCCTTGTATATCCCATGGTAAAGTTGACTATGAGCCCCATGAGCGAATCTAAGCCCAAGAAATAGCTTAGAGAGATCAACCATCCAATCATCCGCAGTTTCCACGGAGGTAACTCTTCCCCCTCCATTGTCAAAATACTTTGTCCACGTCGAATCCTTCTTGATTTTCAATTTTTCATGCATTTTCATCGAAGACAAGTTCCTAAGAGGGCTGGCACTAGATGTGGACTTTGAATCAGGTGCTCGGATTTCTTGGGAATCTTTGTGGAACAACTTTCCCACAATTCCCTTCTCGGGCTCTCTTCTTCTAGGATGTGGAGTTGAGAATCTCTTCCAATCAGATTGAGCTTCCTTAAATTCATCGGAAAGTGTAGTAGTTTTGGGGAGAGGTGAAAAAGACCTCTGCTTGTTTACGGGACGATTTTGCTGAATCTGTGGAACAGATGGACCTGGTTTTGGATCAACAGAGGCCGGTGCAGGCCTAGATTTCAAACCAGAGTGCCAATTTGGTGGAATGGTGAGAGGAATAGAGGCCAGTCTTGCAGAGTCCAACCGATGACAGACCGTGTGAGAAAACTTAGTTCTCGTTAACCAAGAATTAGCCCCTTCCTCCATTGCCAAAGACTAAAAAACCAGGTAATTACAAACAATCCTATTATTATTTTCCTTCTTCTCCAGCTGAGAAGAAGGCCTAAGATCAAGATTTTCCTCAAGAAACTCTATATGCTTTACAAAGCTCCATATACACAATTCCTTCAAACCCATCAACAAATAAACCTTTAAAAATCAAACTCCACCTCCATTGAAATTGAAAAACATCTTCACCATTGAAATTGAAAAAAAAAAAAAAACCTTCAAACCAATTAACAATAAGCCACAGAATATCGATTCCAAATCAGAGAACCCTTCAAGCTTCAAACCCTAATCTACCACGAAATACACAAAATTTTTAATTTCATCATATCAGAATCAAAGTCTCCTGAAAACCCAATCAAAAAAAGGCACAACCAACCCTCCCCTCAAACAACAAAACCTTCTTAGCTTCAAAGTCAAACCTGAAAATCTCACAAAACAAATCCTATATAAAAAATTTGAACTAAAAAACTAAAAAATAATATTAAATTAACACCCTTATCATAGACCCCATTCATGAACCCACGTGAGAAAACTAATCAATGCTTCAAAACAATCATAAACCCATTAAATAATTAAAAATTAAAGACGACCCATTAATAAATAAATATAATATATATATATATACAAAACCAACAACACAACGTAAAGATCTGGGCATTTAGGAAGAGACTTACCAGAAGGGAATAGCAATTTACGTTATAGTCCTGTATTTTATTTTATTTTTTTCTCTCTCTCCTCTCACTATTTTCTTATCAGGAAGCACAGGAGGAGAGGGAGACGGAGAGAGAGAAATCAAAATCGTGTACTTTAAACATACGAAATGGCTATGATGATGAAGATGAGAATCAGAAGGTAGTAATGCCTTTCGTATACGGAGCTTTACGTGGGGCCCTGAGATGTGGTGTGGGGGCGGTGGCCGTGGTGGTGATGGTGGGTGGTGGGACCTAGCTTCAGAAAGTCAGAAAAGGCAGGGAGAGGAGAGGAGAGGAGAGGAGAGAGAGAGAGAGAGAGAATGAATAAAATAGTATGAAGAATACAACCATCACTATCAGGGTATGGCGTACGGAACGCCAATGAGAGATAGAGATATACATACATAGCATGTGTATAGAACGGTAAATACGGTACGGTTCGCACGGGTACGCGTGCTACCGTTAGTGCCTGTTTGGTTGCAGTTTTTTTTTTTTTTTTTTTTTAATTAATTTAGGCTAAGTTTGGGTACTTCCAAAAAAGTCAAAAAGTCAAAAAGTTACTCAAAAAGTTAAAAAGTTAACACTATTCACCAAAAATCAACAATTACGGCTGCACAACTCCCAATTCTAATTTTCTCCTAAAACCAATTCAATTTTTACAATTTTTTATTACACATTTTTTAATAAAAAGTCAAAAAGTTAACCCAAACATCTATATTTTCAACCTCAATTTTTTAGTCTAAAAAGACAAAAAAGTGCACTTTTTTAGTCTTCCCAAACTTGGCCTTACATTGTAAGCACTCATTAATGTTTCGTTTGGGTTGTGAGTTGACTTTTTAACTATTTTAATCTGAGATTAAAAAATCTCATTTATGATAATTTTTTAATTTTTTTGACTTTTATAAGAAAAAAAATAAGATATTTATGATTTAAATGCGACATTTTGTCTTATCATACTAAAATGCCTATTTAGCTCTTTTGTAACTATTTTAACTAAAATGCCCAAAAGCCTACTATACCAAATGAAGGAAAAATAATTTTTAAATTTTAATAAGATTTTCAAATGACGTGACTTTCAACCTACAACTTAGAGTTGGCTTGGAAAAATTATTAGTTAGGACTCGTTTGAGAACATGTTAATTTAGTAATTTTTTGACTAATTGACTAAAAAGGTAAGTAAAAAAAATTTGTATGTTTAGAATAACTTTTTGACTAATTACAAAAAACTGTATAAAAAATAGAGAGAAGTCGTAATTGTTGACTTTTTGGTATAACTAATTAGCTAATTGACTAATTTAATAATTTTTTGACTAATTAACTAAAAAGATAGCATCCCAAACAAGGCCTTAGTTTAAAAGTGTCATGTGGCCATACCTTTACTAATAATAATTTATCATGCCTCGTTATGTTTTCTAGTTATCTAATACTCTCTCCAATCACAATATTGTTAAAGTTTCACGAAACGATATTTCAAAATTAAAGTGCCAAAATATATTTTTTTTAGTTGGTATTTGATATAAATAAAAAAAAAGATAAATTACATTTACACCCCCTGAGGTTTGCATTTAATACATATTTTTTCTTAACGTTTAGAAAATTACACTAACCTTCCTGTCATTGCAATTATTTAGATGAAATGAAAATATTAAACTCATGCACTCTCTCTTTTCTTACTTTGCTTTACTTTTTTTCTTTCTTTCTTTCCTTGGCTTTACCCCTTTTTCAATGTAATTTTTTCTATTTTTCTATTAGGAGTTGTTGCCTTTTACATAAATAAATGATTTGTAAAATAAAACTATTAATCACAAGAATATAAATATAATTTCCAGAACATTAAGAAGTAAAATATAATTAAATCAAATCTCAAAAGGTGTCCATATAATTTACCAAAAAAACAAAACAAACAAAACACTCAAAAAACATCTCTCTGTTTATTTGTTTGTTTTGGATAAGCATGTTGGCAAAGTGAAAGAGAAAGGAAATAATAATAAATTAACAAAAACTAATAACAAAAATAATAATAAAAAAATTGACTTGTAATAAAATAATTTTTTTAGTTAGGCACTATTTGGCATTCTCTATATTAGTATATTTTTTAATTTTTTTTTAATCTTTTTTAAGTCACATTATCTATCTATTTTTTTATACGTTGTTTTGTAAAAATTTAAAAAGTATATTTATTTATATCATTTCAATCAATTTAAATCCTAATCATCTATCATTTTTATGTATGGAGTGTTTGATAAAATTGAAAATTGAGCCCTCGTTTTGCATATTGGTTGGGTTGGCTTTTTAGCTAAAATAGTCACAATAGGTTAAAAAATTAATAAGACAAAATATCACATTCAAACTATAATCATTTCATTTTTTCTCTTACAAAAGTCAAAAAGTCAAAAAAATCCAATCCAAACGAGACTTTTTAACCCTAAGCTAAAATAGCCAAAAATTCAAAAAACCAACCCACTTTTTCAAATGAAGCCTAAATGTTTATTTTTTTTTATGCTGGAAAAACTGTAATAAAATTTAAGGGTTGAATCAAAATAACTTGTTTAAGTGCATCCCTAACATTGAATCAACAATTTCATCAAATTTTAGTAAAAATTTGATAAAAAGTTTGATTTGATACCGTTCACTCTAATGTTGCATTAGAATTTTTATCAGATTTTTTCACATCTCCTCTGGGATGAGCTCTGGGCGGATGTCCTGGAGGTTGTTCGAACATGATGATAAAAAGCTCTCAAAATTGCTATTGAATGGACATCTAGAAGGATATCCAGCCCAACGGCAACAATTTAAATTTGATAAAAGAAAGCTCTTTTTATTTGATGAAATTTTTTATTTTTTCCTACTTTGATATGGGTTTGATGCTAACACTAGGGCCAAAAAAGTGAGTCTATTTCATTAAATTTAAATTTAATGAAAAGTTTAAATAAACGCTAGAGACTTTCTAATGTATGTAATATTAAATTTAAAATTTATTATAATCCCCTAATACCGATTTGAACGGCTTTTTTTCGAAAAATACCTTTGATGGGACGGGGATGGTATTCAAAAATCAATCTTCGATCAATTTCGGGCCGAGAACGGTGATAAGTATCCAAGCCCCGACCCCGTTTGTCCCCAACGTGATATATATATATATATATATACTTTCTATGTACTCTCTCTCTCTCTCTCTCTCTCTCTCTCTCTCTTTTATTTCATATCTACTCTCTCTTCATTTCCGTCTCTAATCTCTCTCTCTCTCTTCCGCACCGTCTCTCATCTCTCTCTCTCTCACACACACACACACACACACACACACACACTCACTCAGAGTCTCTCTTTCTCACTCTCGCACCTCTCCTCCTCCTCAGCGCCACAGCTTCTGTCGCATTACACCGCCGTCCTCCTCCGTTGTTCGTCAATCACCATCGTCTACCTCTGTTGTCCATCGCCATCGATCTCCTGCGTCGTTTGTTGCAGTCAGCATCGCCGATCTCAGATCTGTTTGATGAGACACAGATTTCAGATTTGTGTTGATGATATACACTCAGATCTGTGTTGATATGTATGTATACATGTACGTGTGTGTCTTTATTTGTCCATTGTTTTTTTTTTTTTTTTTTTTGGGTAGTTGATGCACACAGTGTTGATGATGATTTTGTTGTTGATGATAATTTTGTCACCATTTGTTGTTTATGATGTTCTTGATGATTTTGTTGATGTTGAAAGTTGTTGATGATGATGTTGTTGAAACAGATTTGGGTAGAAGAATTTTCGGGGTTAGGAAAACTCGATTCCTATTAGGGGGCGGAGACGGGGACGGGGACAGGGACTGTGACAGGTTGCCCATTGGAGATTGGGGCCATAGACGGGAAAATTTTTACCATCAAGAATCAGGAACATGAAGTGTAATTTCTGGCCCCATCCCACCTCATTCCATTGACATTCCTAGTGATAGTGAATTGATGATGGTGGAGATAGCAGTGGCATTAGCTATGGTGTCACAAGCAATAACTATTGAGAGGGTAATTTTTGGTAAAAATTGGACCCGAGCTGTGAGATGGGCTTTACGACCCAAAGTACGAAGGACTGGATAAAAAGGCCCAATGGAAATGTAAAAGTTACTCCGGTCCAAAAGTAAAAGAGTTACTCCGGTTCAAGAATGGTAAAGTTACTTCGGTCCAGAAGAGATGTTGAGTTACTTCGGTCTGTACAACTTTTCTAGTAAGGCCGGTCTCAGAGGTAGTCCGGCCATGATGTATTCTGGGTAGATCGGTCCAACCACATCATGGTCCGTGCATGAGAGAACCGAAATATGATGTAGCAAGAAGAAGAACCGAACTACTGTTAGTACGGCCTACTCTGTGGCTCAGTATAGCCAGGTTTATCTCGGTCGTATGGCAGTTCGGCCGTAGTTAAAACCATCCCACTTGGTTTAAGCAGTGGGGGGGGTGTAAAAGGATAAGCATTATCCATTAGGAGTATGAATCCTAGGAGGACTCTGCATGGAGAAATAAAAGTCCTACTAGGATTGTGCCACTCGAAACCTATAAAAGCTCGCAAGCATTACCTTGGAAGGAGGTAACATAACCCCACATACAATTTTGCTTCCTAAACACATTGAGCTTTGTCTATTTGTCAAGTTTTCTGACTTAGGCATCGGAGAGGTTTCCGGCACACACCCGCTGGCTAGCTCACGTTTGTGTTTTCAGGTGACAAAGCGACGTCGTACGGAGGAGCGCAGACTTAGTCAACAGGATTATACGAGGAAAATTATTTCTTCCCCGTACAACTATGAAATCAATATATATATATATATATATATTCAGCAAAATGGACCAACAATTATGGTTTATATATATGAAATTTTCTCCTTCTCCTTCTTTTGTCTTTTTAAAAATATAGAAGTGCACAAATATAAATACAAGTGTTCATTATTTTCTATGAAAGTGATTTAAAAGTACACATATATATACTTGTTTAT